AAGGAAAGGAAAGGAAAGGAAAGGAAAGGAAAGGAAAGGAAAGGAAAGGAAAGGAAAGGAAAGGAAAGGAAAGGAAAGGAAAGGAAAGGAAAGGAGAAAGGGAAAAGGAAAGATGGGATAGATGTGATAGATGGGAAAAGGAAAAAGTACAGAAGAAAAAAAATCAGAGAAATGACAAAATGATAAAAAATCAGAGAAAGAAAAAAATGAAAAGAGAAAAGGGGAAAAAAGAAAAGAGGAGAAAAGAAGAGGAAAGGAAAGAAGGAAAGGAGAGGAGGACAGGTACCTGCATAGGGCTGATCCAAGCTTGAGAAGGGAGAGTCCAGGCCTGGAGAGCTGGGCATGTCACAGAGCCCGTTTAAGTCACAACTCCCCATAAACAGAGAGAGGCGATGGGAGAGCAGCGAGGCAGCTCCCTCTGGAGCAGAACCAAAACTCTGAAGTGGCCAGGCCCTTTGCTATCAGCTCCACGAGCCTTTTAAAGCCTCTCTTTTGTCTCATCCGCATTGCTGCCGAGAGCCGTGAGGTCACTCTCTCTATTTTTGCCTTCCTAGCTTCATCAGTGCGCAGTGTGATGGACATTGTCACCTGGCACTGAAACACCCTCCTTCTTTCCCCCAACCTCCATTCGCTAGAAGAGGAACTCCTCTTTTATGCTTAAAAGTGAGAAAATATGTCCTATATTCCCCCTGCAGCTGTGGCGCCAGCTTCGGGAAAGGATCTGTGTTTCCATACCTCAACATCCAGCATTTCCATGCTAAAGAACCCTACAAACAGCTGAGGCAAACACAGTTCTCATGCCCCAGCACAGACACAGAGAAACCTGCCCAGGAGGAAGGCAACTTTCCTTCTTAGCACCCAAGACAGCCCCCAACTCCAAATAAATATATGGAGAACAGCAGTGGGGAGGAAGGACTTTCTGCATCTTCCTTCCACACCTCAGGAGAACTAGCCCATGAAACAGATTCCTCGACCAGGACTGGGGAACATTTAATAGAAGAGCACTGGCATCCTGGGTGCTGGCAGTGTAGTTGTCTAACTGAATGGCAATGGCAGAAGCTGCTACTGTAACTGTGAGGAGTGTGGCTGTGCCCACGGAGGGTGACACGGGTTTGGAGGCCAACAAGTGGCACCGTCCAGAGCTCCTGCGTTAGAGACCGAGGTGCTGAAAGGCTGAGATGCTGCTCAGGAGGACGCGGGTGGGAGGCTACAAAGCTCCACAGCCAAGATCTGCTCTGCACCTCCCTGCACTTTGGCTGGACCCCATCCCGTTGGCTCCTTCCCTACAGGAGCAATCGGTGCCGGGAGGGGAACCCAGACCTGTGTCCGAGTGATGCTACACTGTGGTTCTCCCTGCACAGCCGTCCCACCCTTCGCGTCACCGTCACTGGGGACTCGAGCAGATTGTCCCTGGTGTTAGTGCATCTAGGAATGTGAAGGTCTGACCATGCCGTTCCCTCCAAGGAGGACAACTGCTGCAGGCAGCAGTGCTCTAAGAGACCTGACAGGCCTCCTGCAGATGCTCTTACAGCAGGAGAGGTGGAGGTAGCTCAGTTTCTTCTTCTTTGCTTAATATTATGGTGGATAATTCCTACAGAAACCTCTTTGTTAACTTTTATAGCACTCATTTTTTTCCCTCACTAAATTCTATTGAAATACTCAATGAGAAATAATACTTGCTTACTTTAAATTAAAAAATCTTAAGCAAAGTTTTTTTACTTATATTATTTACTTACATTACATTTTACTAAACTGAAATTAAGTGACTAATCGCAGCAAAAGAAGCATAAGAAGTATCTTTTCAAGATCAGAACCTGCTAGAAGAAAGCATTTTAATCTATCCTCACAAAAACTACAGGACAAGCTTCTGGAGACCAATTTCCAGCAGAGCCTTCACCACTGAAAATAAACCTACTACTAATATCAAAGATAAAATATGTTCCTATGTGATGAAATACTACTTGTCCGCTGTATTTTTTTAATATGGGATCAACCAGAACTCTGTTTTTCAAGCTATTTATGTTAGACAAGGTCATTTTTCCATGGCTAGTGTTGCAAATATCTCAGTAAGTCATCACAGGCTATAGACTTCTCATGTTTTTCATATCTGGAGCCCTTTCAAAATAAGATTTGAATAGGTTCTATTGGCCTTCCAAGTATTTCCCTGTTGTAAGCTAGCCTTTCAAGTTACAACCAATGCTGGAATTGGAAACCATAAGGTAGAGAACATATTCTTTAACTCAAAATAACTGGAATAGCTTGTGGGACAGAAAGCTTGTTTTGCATTTTGGGGTCTTTGCACTCTTCCATCATGTAATCTGTACGTAATATAAAATATAGCTACTAATTTCAGCTCTGATTCAGCACACATGCTTTGGTCCTACTGAAGTTTGCAACACTTCAGCACACATCTGAAGTTAAAAATATATTAGGCACTTGGTGAAATGTCAAATTTTTCCTAAATGACCAGTGATTTTAAGAGCTCCCCCTGAGACGCTGCCCCACTGCGATCTTTTGGTTTCAGGGAAATGGAGAAATTTTAGCCTGATTTCCTAGGAAGGACTTGTGCAGCCACGCTGTATATTTTTCAGTCATTTTCTTTCACTCTGATAGCTTTTGAACCCTGTTGTTCTTGTTAAAGTGTGTGAAGTCACAAAGATATTAAGTTTACATTAAAATAGGTGGCTGGACAGAGGAGACAGGCCCTACTATAGGAAATGGGAAGTCTGAAAGCAGTCTTAATAAGGCCCCAAAAATGAAAGGACAGGACAGGAGAGTTGATGAGCTCCCATTTTGAATATGAG